CATTAGTTTGTTATAAATCCAGGAGGGGGGAATCCTGGCAGAGTCAGCAACTTGGTGAACAGCAGCAGGGAGAATGAAAGCGAACGTTCTTAAGTTATTTAACACGTAACTTTTGTAAATACTGCTCTTTATGAGTCCCACCTAGGTGTGTTAAATCTTCCCACAAGTGAACTGGACTTGAACTAGTAGAAACCAGGCTAAACTGGCAAAAAAAAAAAAAAAAACAACCATTAAAGGCCATTTACAGTGGGATGCAAAAATTTGGGCAGCCTTGTTAATTTTCCTGTATAAATCGTTGATTGTTAGGATAAAATATTTCAGTTAAACATCTCATATAGGAGACACACAGTGACAATTGAGAAGTGAAACAAAGTTTATGGGTTTTAAAGAAAGTGTAGCCTGACCAGCCAGCTCCATGCTTTCTTAAGGGAAGCATTAGGTCTGGGAACTCTTCTATTCAAATAACCCCACCCCCTGAGAATTATAACCGAGCCAATCAGCGCTGAGCAGCATTCGTCACACATCACAACGCTCTGTTTCTCATACACAACAAAGACAGCGGCGGAGTTTGCTGTGGCTCTTTCCTCTGTTCTAAATGACTTGAACATGTCTTTAAAACCACAAGTAAAAGTGCTAAAAGCCTTTCCTCTAAAGAAAGATGTTTGTGCCATCGCCATTTTTGATAACAAGTAAAAAAAACTACTGCGTACAGTCGGCATTTCTGCCTTTTTTCTGATTGGTTATTTTAGAGCTCACTAGTCCCACCCCTCATGTGCCTCTCTGCCTGTGAGTAACCAGACTCTCTGTGCACAATTAAACAGAGGACGAGCCTGGCAGGCCCAGCTACAGAAAGTGTGCAACAATTGTTAAAATGAAAATTAGGCAGGTGCATAAATTTGGGCACCACAAAAAAGAAATGAACTCATTTAGTAAATCCTCGTTTTGCAGAGATAACCGCCTCTAAACACTTCCTATAGCTTCCAATGAGAGTCTGGATTCTGGTTGAAGGTATTTTGGACCATTCTTCTTTACTAAACATCTCTAGTTCATTCAGGTCTGATGGGCAGCTCTCTTTAACTCACACAACAGAGTTTCACTAATATTCAGGTCTGGGGACTGAGATGGCCATTCCAGAACGTTCTATCTGTTCCTCTGCATGAACACCTTAGTAGATGTTGAGTGGTGTTTGGGGGCAGTGTCTTGTTGAAAGTTTTAGTTTCATCAGTCCACAGCACCTTATTCCAGAAGGAAGCTGACTTGTCCAAATGGGCTTTAGCAAACCTCAAGCAGCTCTGTTGGTGCTGTGGGTGGAGAAAAGGCTTCCTCTGCATCACTCTCACATGCAGCATCTCCTTGTGTAAAGTGCACCGGATAGTGAAACGATGCAGAGACTCCATCTGCAGCAGGACGATGTTGTAGGTCTTTGGTGCTGGTCTGTGGTTGACTCTGACTGTTATCACCATTTTTCACTTCTGTTTATCTGAGATGTTTCTTGGTCTGCCACTTTGAGCCTCAACTTGAACTGAGCCTGTGGTATTCCATCTCCTCAATATGTTCCTAACTGTGGAAACAGACGCTGAAACCTCTGAGACAGCTTTCTGTATCTTACCCCTAAACCACGATGGTGAACAATCTTTGTTTTCAGCTCATGTGAGAGTTGTTCTGAGACCTCCATGTTGCCGCTCTTCAGAGAACGTTCAAAGAGGAGGGAAACTTAAGTCCTATAAACTTAGTTTCACTTCTCAAACATCATGTGTGTGTCTGATAAATTTAACAGATTTTTCTATGGTAACAACCAATGATTTTTACAGGAAAATCATGAAGGTTAACAAGGCTGCCCAAACGTTTGCATCCCACTGTATTCAGTAATTCAGCTTAGACTGAGAGACCATCTTAAGTCTCAGGAACCATTTGCAGGGTCTGGATTCATTAGCGGAATAGAGTATGAAACTTTGAGCCTAGAATATTGCACCTTTTCACAATATTTTAAGTTTCTGAGATTTTTATATGGGGTTTTCATAAGCTGTAAACCCATAATCATCACAGTTATAACAAATAAAGGCTTGAAATTGATTTATTTATTTTTGTGTGTCCTGTCTGGCTGTGAAGCAAACAGAATTGATGTCTGAATGCTGGTGACAAGCCTTACAGATTTACTCTCATGTGGAGCATCAAAGCTTTTAATGTCACGCCTGATACTTAAAGCTTTACTGTTATTGTTTTTGAATGCTTTTTAATTCTGACCAGACAAGGAGACAGAGGTGAAAGAGAAAGGAAGAGACAAAAGATGGGGGGGGGGGGGGGGGGTCCTAAAAAATAAACAATAATGAACAAGAATCTGCTTCTAGACCTGCAGAAAGAGAAAAGAATAAAAAAGAATAAAAGGGACACACAACAATGCAACAAGATAAGGCTATCACTGTGTCAACTTGATGAAGAAATATATAATCAACATTGTTTAACTGAACAATCACACGATAATAAATCACAGTGCATTAAGTGCCCACCATAGTCTTAAGACATGTGTTGAACGTGCCCAAGTCCATACTTATGAAAGCACCATGTGAGCACCTGTGTGTGTACACGCGCTTGTTTATGTAAGGTTACTCTATAGGAGCGTCCAACAGAGAGTGTGAGGGACCACAGATCTGCCCCCTAAAGATGTGCAGGAGACGGAGGGAGCTCCAGGTCCCAGAGATCCAGGAGTTGCCCCAGAGCGCAGGAACCCCAGGGAGACTGCGACCAGAAAAGCCCCCGCCCCCCTCGAGAGGCGCAGAGGATCGCCCCGGGGGGGCACAACCAGCAGCCGGCAGAGTCCAGGGAGATATCGGCGGCAAGCCCACAGGCCCACCCGCAGCCTCCCACCCCCTAGCCGGCCGAGCCCAGGACCCAGCGACCCGGGACCCGGGGGCGACCACCCCCGCTGGGGACCCAGCGGAGCCCAGGGACCCAGACCCCACCAGGCAGCCACCGGGATTGGTCAGGCAGATGCCAAAAATCTTAAACTCCCTGACCCGGGAGCCACGACCCAGGCAGACCAAGGCACCGCGCTCCACACCAGGTGTGGCAAGGGGAGGAGAAACAAAGATCTATATCATCAAAAGAAGTCCCAGGAGAAGGGAGGAGTCAAAGGCCCCACATGACATATACAGTCATACTCAAACACAGTCACACACTCCCTCCCTCATGCTCACACATACAAATTCAATAAAAGACTTACAAAAATGCACGCCGGACACCCACTCATGCTCCCCATACACACCCTATTCACTCTGGTCCCGGTACTGCTGCACATGGGGTACAACCATCACCGGTTCCAAGAGTTCGACCCTTTCTGCTGGGGTGCTGATGAGCAGGCTCCCCCGCCCAACGCTGTGCACAGCAACCCACCACCCCAGACCCCAACCGGATGGCCGGATCTCCCTCCTAGCCTCCTGCCCCAGGAAGCCATCAACAACAGAGGTGTGCTAAGACCCCTAGTCTCCCTCCGCCTGCTCCAATATAGTGTTGTGTGTTAATGAGGTGTATTCCATGGCTGTGGTGAGCGGGCAGTGCGGGCATTGTCTGGCCTACGCCAGCTGATGCCACTACACCACCCCACTTGCACCCACAGCCCTCAGTGTCTAAGTGCGGTTTAAAATTGGAAGTGGGCACCGGCACTTGGGATGAGGCTGAGAAATGCCCCTGCCAAATGCCGTTGGATGTGCTCACTCCCAAGGCCCTAAGAGTGTGTTTGCGTGGAATGACAATGGTGGAAGTGTTTAATGTGCAAATAAAATTGGGGGGCAGGTTGCCACAGGAATGCGTAAATGGGGTCCATACCCTCACTCCCTGACTTGTCCACCCCCCAAGATCCTATGTGCATGTTTGTGTGATGATGTGAGGGAGCAGGAGGAGAGAAATGTGTGGGGATGGGGAGGAATGGCTGGTTGGGCTTAGCCCTCCAGGGAGCCAGCTCCCCCACTGGCCCCAATAGGCACCTCTGTTGTCAAAATGCCACCCAGAGCATGGAGACCCCAGCCCATCCTGCCAGGGTCCAAAGCAGCAGCATCACAGAGCCTCACAGAGTCCGAGGGCACCAACCCAGCCCTACCCCAGCAGAATATCTACGCCCATCCCTGCATTTGCACAACTTCTGGACTATAAAAGACATAGGACATCCAGGTAAGGTTGGGTTCTCCCCCTCCTGGACTTCCCCCTCCCCTGTGATGGGACAGCAGAGGAGGCAAGGTCTACCCGAGGCCCCTGAACTCGATTCAGGCACTGCTGCATGTTCCTGCCTTCTCCCCGGCAGCATACATGTCAGGACCCGACCCCCAAGGCCCCGCACAGATCCCCACACAGGGCCGGCCACTCCAAAGGCTTGAAATTTAGCATGTAATGAGTCTATCCCATACATTAGTTTTACCTTTTAAGTAGAATTTCTGAAAAAATAAATAAATAAAAGAACTTTTGCACCATATTCTAAGTTTTAGCGTTTGACCTGTATACCACCTTTGTTTTTTAAGGGTTTTACATAACAAAACATGACAAATAAGTGAAAACAAACAAACAAACAAAAAAAAAAAACGATTATCTTCTGTCATCCTAATAGTGTCTCTTGTAATCAGTTTTTGTAAATGTGAATGTTACGAGGCACAGGCTCAGGCCCATTTAGATGTGACCCATGTCACAGGAAGACAGGCGGTTCTTTTATTTTTATCCTGTTTACTTGTTTTCAGCAGCATTTTTACTAAGGTCACAGTGACCCCGAACAGAACACACCGTAAATAAAATATGTGTGAGGGAGGGGGACGTGCACCCAGACATGCTCCTCTCCATACCATTGAAATCTTTATTAAAAACTTTATGTTGGTTAAAAACATTATTTATTTTAGAAGTTTTATGTATGTAAATGCTTAGAGTACATGAGAGTAACACGGGCAACCAATGTGCATTAAAACTGACAAGAATAAAGAATTAAAACCATGTAAGGCATGGATAATCCGGAGTTTACGCACCTTAACTTGTGCATGCTCGTTTTCCACAATTTGACTCAACAGTTTCTTGTGAATGGAGACATTTGTGTCCCTCTTGGACAACGTTGTGTCTCTCTGGTGGTAAAAATAAATATCAGAGATTGAAAATCTTCACAAAAGTCCAAATGAAATGGTTGAGAGACAGGATATACCTGGCTGGTGAAGAGTTTCAGAACCAGGTGACATTCTCCCTGAACCTTCGATGCGCTCGATCGGGGCTCCAGTTTGAACCAGGTGTCATAACCAGGAACAGGAATCTCCTGCAGGAAGGGGCCAGACTGATTATTGATGGTAACTTTCCAGAGAAATCCCTTGTTGTAGGTAAGGATTTATCTATTTCATGTGTTTTCCTGTAGACGCTGCTGATTGGTGAGACATTTCAGCTTTGAGTGCTCACGTTCAAAGGGATGTTGATGCATCCGAGGAAGTCATCAGCGTTCTCCTCGGAGCCTGAAGATGCCGATCCATTGGCCCGCACTGACTTTGCTATTTGTTTAAAATATCTAAAAAGACAGAAAATCTTTTGTCAAACGTTTATTCAGAATTTAGCAACACTTGGTTTAATTTCCTAATAAAATTATGATAACAATCGACTAGTTTTTGTTAACGTTTTCATCAAAGGATAATGAACCTTTGTTCTCTGGGCTGTGACTGACATTCTCAGGTTCTCAATGGACTTTGCTGCTATTTATTAGGATCACTTCTCTGTTTGCACACCTTTTAAGGAACTGAGCTTTGTTTTTTCTGTGCCTTTCAAAGGATAAAACTCAAATTATTCTGCAGAATTAACAAGCAATGTGTAGACAGCCTATTTATGGCTTCGTTCACATAAAAGTGACAGTTTTATTGGCAATTCAATGAATTTTATTTTATAGCCACAAAGCCAAGCCGATGAATTAATTACCTGAAGAAGAAGTATGCACACAAAAGCACAGAATCCGAACTTCAAAAACATCTAACAAAACCAGAACAATTAAAGAAGGTTGTGTTACAGTCCTACCTCCCCATCCCCCGAAGACCACTGACTTCATTGAGCTTTTTGCAAGCCTCTGCAACAGATACATCGTCGTCATGATCCCTGCAGAAAAGAAGACAACTCAGACACTGGAGCAATCCATGCTAATGCTGACCAGCTAAGAGGCTACATTCATACTTTTATCCAATCAGCTCAACAATTTTCACTAAGGCCTGAAATGGTCCAAATGTATTATGTAAGGAAAAGAGTTTAAGTGAGAAGGCATTCCTATTTGGAGTAACCCTAACGATAAAGAGAAATCATAAAAACAACAATTCGCAGCAAATAATAATAGCCAGAAAGAAATTATTCATGACACAGCAGTGTGCTGCATGCGGGGTGAATGCTGAAATTGCCTTAGAACGTGTGCCTTGTGCAGAAAAAAAGCACTCACGTGCACGACTGTGCATAATATTTAATTCCAAATCCATCAACATAAAAAAGGCTAGATCCTGGCAAAGGAATAACATGTTTAATAGCTGAATGTTCCAACTTCAGTTCATGGACTAAACTTTACAGAGAGACCAGGGTTCTGAATTTACTCCAAAGGGTTTGAAGAACAGCGGCTGGTTAAATGTAGGTAAACATTTTCAGCCATTTTAAGGGGTTAATGTGTTTAGAAATAGAGGGAATTTCCATTCAGTTGCCAAAAAACTAAATTTAAGACATTAATACTTTTGTGTCAATGTCTCCAAAAGGTGCAGGAACCTGGAGCTGGTAAAATGAAAATTGTTGCTATAGTAACTGATGCATCAGCTTTTTTTTTTAACCAAGCAATTGATTTCTATGGTCTGGTGATCTAAACTTACCAAATGTCTAGGTGTAAAAGGTCATTGTGGACATCATCTATTTCACTGAAAAAAGAAGACAGCACATCAAATACATGAATTAACGGTCCTGCTTGTGACCAACAATGGTGATAAACAGCTCAATGCTGCTTTGACAGGATGACAGTGTGGTGCGCTGGCCACACAGCTAACAGCTTCAGGCGTTCGTGTGAAAACTGTGACGCACACCATGGTGTGCAGCACCTTCAAGAAGTTTCTACTCACAACACAAAGTGCTCGTCCCAGACGGGGTTCAGAGTCTCGGGTTTGACTTCAGTCACCTGGATGCACCTGGCAGGTAACACCTCTTTGGTGCTGGAGCGCTTCTCCAGCTTCTCCCTCCTCTTCCTGAAGCTGAACTTTCTCTCCTTCTTCTCCTCTGTTTCACGAGGGCTCTGCCCCACCAGGATTCCCAGCATGCAGTAGGGGTCGCTGTACCCTGTCATCAAGGTCAGCACACATGATCCTCTGCCTTTGTGCTGCTTTTAAACATTTATCAGCTCTTTTACGGGTTTAAACGGAATTTTAAACACTCCATACTGCTAATGGTCAAAGTGAGCAAATCCTTTTCTTTTGAAATTGCGGCTGACATCCAGTGAATGAGTGGTAAGTCTCATAAAAAGCTTCTGAGTTTGATTTTGTAGCAGGACAAAGAACATGTTATTGAACACTTTACGTTCCTTCATAGAAGCACCAGCTCATGCTTGAGTGGTCTTACCATTTGCATCCTTGGCCATCAGACTCTTGGCTTTCATGACTGAGACTCTTAAGGAAAAGCTGGCTCTCTGTGGGAAAAGCAAATGTCTGTTAATGCCACAGACACAACGCCTCCAGCGCCTACCAACAGCTTTATTCTCTAGTTGGCCCATTTAAGACTGTAGCAGCATGCACTGAATAGGAAGATTTTAATAAATCAATTTCTTATTCAAGCCTCCAGGCCAAAAATCAAAAGAGCCCCAGGTTTTTCATACTTACGGTTGAAAGGTCCACACACACACACACACACACACACACACACACACACACACACACACACACACACACACACACGCACGCACGCACGCACGCACACACACACCAAAGGCTTTTGAGGTGATAAAAACACTTTCAAGGCCACCAGAGCTCTCCAGCTGAGTAAATAATTTGATCATACTGAAACTTTGAGAAAAGCAAAAAATAAAAACAAAAACTGCAACTGAAGAGAAAAGAACAAGTAAAAGTGAGGAAAAGGACTTAAAGGTTGACACTAGAACGATAACACACGCGTTAAATACAAACGTCCCTTATGCATACAGACAACAGTTAAAAGGACAGCTGATGTTTGTCGAGGCAGCTTTATGTGGGAGGATTGTGATCTGTACATTTCTGTTGTGTATGTATGCTGTGTGGCCTTGTAAGAAAAAGAAAAACTAAAACATTTTAGATCACTAACATCACATTTCTCCTCATGCAGGCTTAAATTTTAAACATTTGCTGCACAAAACAACTACTTCAGTTTAAGTTAGTAATAGGAAAAGTGCCGTGTCTAATCTGTCTCCAACAGCAGCTGAAACTCGTTCTCTCTAAGCATGACACTAAGGGCTGGAATATACTTGCTTTTTAACCATGCATTGACACAGGCAGCGACTTTGTTCACATACTTGCTGCTGCAGTGCATGTAATACTGGAGCATTCCACTAGGGGATACTGTAGAGTACTTAGACTGGATAGAGAGGCGGGTACAACCAAAACAATCAAGGTGTCAGCAGGGCTTGGGATTGAGTTGTCATCACTGATGCAGCTGCCATGTTGGTGGCCTCCGAGTCCTAACTTGTTACTCCAGACAACAGTGCGCTCAGTCTCGTTCATTTCATCAGGAAAAACATGGAAAACAGGCTAACTTTTCACTGTTTTTCTGGAGGCATGACCACAGAGAGCAAGTATCTAGCATGACAAAGTCTCGCTTGGATCGCAGCTGTAGGGCGACCAAACATCACCTTCTGGAGCATTTTCATTCTGGAGACTTACAGATGGTGTTCGTTATTTTATACATTGTTTCTTTCCTTCAACCGCGACATGCACACTCACCACACACACGTAGGCCACACACACACACATAGTGGTGGGCTAATGCGGGCACACTGACACACAACACAGCTACAATTTCATGGGTTGAAAATTTGATTGTTTTACTAGAAAAACCACCAAATGAAACATTTACCTCTCATCCAGACGTTTACATCCGCTCACTTCACAAACAAGACAGACGAAAATGTCCGTTTTGCAGAACTGCAGCAGCAAAAAGTTGTCACCAGTGCTCCACTCTTAGGTCTTTCACTTGAATCCAAACCGTTCATGATGCTAATTTTGTTCACATACCTGTCCCCGACGTCTTTATTCAACGTATCCCTGTAAATTCTGCATCCGTTTTAGGATTTTAACTTATTTAACACTTTCTTTCCCCCAAATCTGCTTCTTCTCTGCGATGTGCTGTGTTTTCATGGTTTGTTTACACTGTTTTCATGGTTTGTTTACAACAAACAATGTTTTAAACAGTAATTTTTACTTCTACTGTGGTGTAATGCTGGATGCATGCTGTAGAGCTCCATGCTGCCCCGTTCAGTTTGGGAGAATATTGGCTCACCGCAGAGACAAGCCGCACGAACCATAAACGCTGCGAGTTGTGAAGCGTGTTCCATCCGCGAGCCGCATCACCAAGTGGAAAGTGAATGTGTCAAGCATAAACCAAGCTTTAAGGCAGGGGTGTCAAACTCAAACTCACACGGGGCCGAAATGAGACTCTGGGACGGAGTCGAGGGCCAAACTTAATATTTTTTGAAAAAGTGACGGCAAATTTGCACATTTTCTTTATCAACATGTATGCAATTTTGAACCTTTAAATTTGGAAACAAACTTATTTCTGCATTAACACTGAATGTGGAATAACCAGGCATCAGTGGTATTCATTACTTGTGGTATAATCAGCATTTTTAAAATCTATTCAGGATTTATATTTTCTTGATAATTCATTTTTCTTATTTTTTATTCTCCTTTTTTCTCCTGTAATAAGTGTCATCGCTGCTGTGACGTCTAGCTTTCCCCACTGAGGAACAATAAAGGGATTTTCTATTCTATTCATCTATCTGCAGCCTTTCCACTTCCTGTTTACTGTAGGTTAAATCTTTTCTCACGGGCCAACAACAAAATAAAAATATCATTTTATCTTAAATGAAAATGCAACATCTCACCTGTTAACTTTCATGTTTTGGAGCAGAAAAAGAGCATAAAACCAACATATTTAAAGCTCAGTTTGCTCCACTGGTTTACTGTGATGCTCACCTGTTCCAGCCAGATACCTGCATCATGGGGTTGATCTGAGCTGAGGAGGAGACTCCTGTTGTTTTGTTCACCTTCATCATAATAACGACAACATTAGATGACAACAGGTGCTCACATAGGTTTGTGCTGCTGAACATGTCTGAGCAGCTTGACCACGTTGTTGTGTGTCGGGGGGAAACACAACCACAGAGTCGTGCTGGTTTGAGCGTGTCGCTGCTCGCTGGAGTTATATCAGCTCTGTCTGGACGTTAGTTGGAAAACTTCCTCTTTAAGTCGTGAACACGTTACTGAGCGGCTAGAATCTCCGTTTCTGGGCTTCAACGTCAGAAAACAGCTGAGTGAACTCGGCGCTGAGTGAGAGGAGTGTAGTTTGTCCGAGACAGCGGAGCTGCAGACACCCAACTACCCCTGACTGCCTCGGGCTGGAAAAAACACAAAGGAGGGGGCGCGTCGCCTCCGCGCTGACGCCGCAAAGCATAATGGGAGTTGAAGTCTTTACGGTAAAATCGGCCAACGGGCCAGTTTTAATATATTTTTTATATTTATCTCGCGGGCCACATAAAAATGCTCCGCGGGCCGCATCTGGCCCGCGGGCCTTGACTCTGACATATGTGCTTTAAGGCCATCAATATGTCTGCGCACATCCCAGAATGCAACGCATGATCACGTGTGATCCCCAGCCCTATGGAACAGATAAGAAACTGGTTGATTTTGAGATCACGGCACAAAAAAAGACAGTAGCGGTATCATGGATAGTATGAAAGACTTCTAAACCAGAGAAGGAGTGACCACGGGGAATGTGTCTTGCTTGTTTTGTCAACTACGCCTACTGGTTTCTTGTATATTGAAAACAGCATTTCAAATTGACACAAGTTAAGCGAGGCAGCCATTTTAAACATGCATACGCATTGGTAAACAGCAAGTATACTTCCGGCCTTAGATGTATGTATTAGTGAGTCATGTATTTTATATGTTCCTGTACATTGCAGCTATGGTGAGCAAACATTATAAAGAGCCTCAGACAGGGAAAGCAAGCCTTGGCTGAAAATTCTTGTTTTGTTTTGGTCATTTGCTAGCCGTCTAGCTACACACAGCTACAAGCTGTGAGGACAGCAGCTCCTCACCACACAGGGCGAATTTCTACTTCACAAGTTGTACCAAATCAACTAAAATATCTTGAAAACTTGACCTCAGATCTGTCACATTTTGACATTTCAAGAGAGAAGTAGCTGAAGAGTTTGATGAATAACAGGTGTATGGTATGTAAAAGTTGTGTCATTAAAAGACTGAAAGCCAACACAGATAGTTTTATATTAAAATGTAATGCCGATATCACCCGATATCAATGGTAGATTGATATTATTGAACATCCCTAATACGAGGCATTCGCGTGAACAGAAATGATATTTCTCACAACAAATATCCGCATAACCGTTAGCCTGTCTGTCAGGGCAATATTAGTCTCTTTTTCTCCAAACTGAGGTCATTCAAAGCCCTATCTCTAACAGGTAGTATATTAATTCATTTCAATTCAAGTTTATTTATATAGCACCAAATCACGACAAGCGTCGTCTCATGTCACTTCACATAGAAAATATTCCAATGCAGGTCAGTTCATTAAGCCAATCAGTAAAAAGTTTCCTATATAAGGAACCCAGCAGGTTGCATCGAGTCACTGACTAGTGTCAGAGTCTTTACAGCAATCCTCATACTCATTGTTCACTATCTTTGCACAGGCTCACTTTAAAGGATATTAGGCATCATTTTAAATTATATATTAATTTTCTTATTTTATAAACATTAATTCCCTTTTAAAATGTATGTTACATTATATAAATACTAGGTTTGGACATCAGAGAAGAGAAGAGAAGAGAAGAGAAGAGAAGAGAAGGGAGGGGAAGGGAGGGGAGGGGAGAGAGAAGAGAAGAGAAAAGAAGAAGAGAAGAGAAGAGAAGAGAAGAGAAGAGAAGAGAAGAGAAGAAGAGAGGAGAGGAGAGGAGAGGAGGGGAGAGGAAAGAGAAGAGAAGGGAGAGGAGGGGAGAGGAGAGGAGGAGGAGAGGTGAGGAGAGGAAAGAGAAGAGAAGAGAAAAGAAGAAGAGAATAGAAAATAAGAAGAGAAGAAGAAGAAAAAGAAGAAGAAGAAAAAGAAGAAGAAGAAGAGATGAGAAGAGAAGAGGGGAGAGGAAAGAGAAGAGAAGGGAGGGGAAGGGAGGGGAGGGGAGAGAGAAGAGAAGAAGAGAAGAGAAAAGAAGAAGAGAAGAGAAGAAGAAGAAGAGAAGAGAAAAGAAGAAGAAGAAGAAGAAGAAGAAGAAGAAGAAGAAGAGAAAAGAAGAAGAGAAGAAGAAGAAGAAGAAGAAGAAGAAGAAGAAGAAGAAGAAGAAGAAGAAGAGCCCTATATTGTCCCTCAGTGAAGACATTTCAGTGTCACAGCATCAGTTACATTCATAAAAGGAGCAAAAAGGAGAGTAAAAAATAAAGAGTAAACAACAAGAATACATAAAGCACAATACTCAAAGATTCAAAAATTTTAAATGCTTAATGTATGCACTTTTTAAGAAATTAAATATAAATATATAAAAAAATATTGTGGGGATTAAAAAAATGTAAATAATAATGTCTCACCTTTGATTCTTGAACTTTTTGTAGAATAATTTCATGTTCCTCCTCACCCATATCAAACACCTTGGAGAGAAGAACCACAAAGTACCATGAATTCATGTTTAATAACCAGTACAAAACAAAATACACACAACGGTGCTCCCTAAATAATGAAAACACTAAAAGTCCTTCCTATAACCTTTGTGTCCTTGCTTGTACCCCAGCTGCTGGAAACATAATAAATGATAAGAATATAAAAGTCTCCCACTACAGACAACCGAGAGGCTACAGTCCTTAGCTTGGCATAATCGCGGCTGAATATCAGTACACAGTGCGACTGGGCTTTGATGGTTAATCAGTTTTGAGCCAAGAGCATCTGCTCAGATTTTAACAGCCTCCACACAACAAATAACACTCTCTGGGAGGCTACCATCAGTGTCGCTGACAAAGATTTAATGGGGTTCCAGAAATACAGCCTGTTCCTCTGTTCTGCCTGATCATTACAAGACAGGAACAGGCAGCGAGGCAGGTACCTTCAGCAGGTAAGCAAACAGCTCATCGTCGCTCTTCACGTGTTCTGGAGCGGGCACGCCGACTCTGTTGACCACCGTGTACACAGCCTCCTCATAAAGCAGGTCGAGCTGCGCAAATACAAATTCCACTTACTAACCACCTTCAGAAAGAAACGAGTGTGCTCTTTTGTCTCTGTGATGTCTGCACTGCTGCAGATCAAAAGAGAGACCAAATGCCACTGATCTTATTGTGACTTTTAAAACGTAATCCCTGCTGAAACACAATGGAAAGTGCAAATAATGGAGAGAAAAAACCCAAGCCGACACACCTCTGTCCTGCTGATTCTTTCGGTGATGAAAGGCTGGTCCACGTGCTCTTGTGGTGGTGGAACCGTGCAAGCTCCTCGCTGACACTGTAAGGAGACAAAACCCCTTCAGGCTGCACAAAAAACACTCCTTTGGTAAAGGTTGTGTTGAATACAGACGAAGAGAAACTGAGGTCACAGTTGGGTATTATTAAGTATCACTTACATCAAGTGAAATTATTTTACAAAGGTTACAAAGAATGTTCAGCAGGGGCAATAGAGGCAATCAGAAAGGAGTGTGAGGCCGTAAATGTCATCAGCGTGGACGCGAGCTCTGCAGACCATCACCTGCTCTGTTCGCTGTTACTGTGGAGCTCGTTTGTAATCGCCACAAAATGTCTCATTAGTCTGATGAAAACATTTCTCTCATCACACGCAGCCTCCTTTTTATACAACAGAGTTTAGGATGTGTGATTGCAGGATCGCGGCAAAAGTCTGAAACTAATTCATGTATTTGAATAATAATATATTCTAGAGAGCCTGACTTAAAACACCTAAAACATAAACGTGGTTTACCCTGCAACAGTGCAAATAAAAAAGTACTTCCATTAAAATGCTTTCCAAAATAATCTATAAAATCTATGTTGTCACTAAGGCCTGGGCATGGATTCCTCTGTTGCTGCTGATATTAAAGGTAAAAAACCAGAAGCGTTAAACATTAAAGGTGGGAAACACTGAAAACCCATTTTAAAAATCTTGTTTCTGGTTATAATCGGCCACTCTGAGTTCTTCATGCAGGCTGAATCAGAAAATAGTCTCCTACACTTACCTCCTGCATTAGCTACTGATAGCTTCTGAAAATAGACGGTGAGACGCTAGGATTTGAAAATCCTGACGGATCTATGTCACACTGTCGCTTAAGAACTGAGTGGGAAGGCTGTTGTTGTTTTAGCACCCAGGAAACTGCAGAGAACGTCCCAACTAGTATAAGCTAGTCGTTAGCATTAGCAAATTCACCACACAGCAGAACTCCTCCAGGCTTGTGTTATTGTGGAGATAAAACAGTAACGTTGCAAACCAGGTGTAGAGTAGCATTTTTGTCATCCAATGTGAGGAGAGATGTCCAAATATCAGGAAGTAAGATTTCAAAACCCGACGTCTGAAGCTCAGCTGTGATGTGGGTCACTAGAAGGTCTGAGAAATGGTGCCCCCCCCCCCCCCCCCCCAATCAGATTGAAGGACAAATCTAAATATTGCTGCATTGCTTCAGTCTGAAGCAAAGTAAAAAAAAAAGTGATTCTATGCTAAAATCTCAGGATTTGTTCCAAAACTAGACACTGATATCCAGCAAAACACGTCCAGATTCAAGCACTAATTAGAACGTGTTTGACCAATAACCACTGACTTGTTTGGATATTCCTTCTGTTTTCAGCAGAATCAACAGTTTGGTGATTTTACAGTTCTGACTCAAAGCAGTTTGGGTTTGAAGTCATGAAACACTCCTATCAAACACGTCGAGATCTGGCAGCAAAGAGCAAGCCAGCAGCTCGTAACAGCTGAGCTCCCGGTCCTCAGAGCGCCCGCTTTAACCCCGTCCTTCTGCCTACAGACGTCACAGCGGTCACGGTGGCGGGCTGAATGACAGCTCTCAGACCTGATCGCTGTAACTGTACGAGTTTCAAGCGTGTAACAGATGGAAAGGTGGAAGTTGGGTTGGGGTTACCTCTGCCTGGGCCGCCCGCATCATGCTCTCCTGTTTCTGTAGAACGGCATTCGTACGCTCAAAGAACTCCACGCTTTCCGCTGAAATCCTGCCAAGATGAGAAAGAAGATTAAAACCAGTTTTTATTTCTAAAATGGAAAATCATAACTGCACTGCAGGAAAAACGTGCATTCCCTCATCAGTATAACGTAAGACTCGTTATGGATGGACAACACACATGGGATCAAAGAGCATCTTGTTATTATCTAAGGTTTGATCTGCTTGTGATGGACCACTGGAAACTGTCACCTCGCCTTCAGAGTTCAGATACTAAACATCGTTATCTGTCCAGGCATTTCAACACTTTGTTCTCAGCATGGACTAGCTTCATGAGAGGACTTCTGTGCCAAATGCAAATGACTCATTCTGTTTCCACCAGGTGTGTGAGTGAATCCCTGAACCCTCACTGGCCTCTGTTGTCATGGTGATATGGACATTTTCAGGAGCACCTTGGGAATCCCCTCCAAAACCACCCTTTCCCTGTGCTTTTTCCCTCTCTTTCCAAATCTGGGGAGGGGTGTCTTCCTCTCCACCTCTATAGAGATCAGTGTGGCTGGAAGCTGCCCTGATGTGAGCTGTTCCAGAACCGCTGTGAAAATTTAAATCCCGATCCTAACCATCCATGCACTCTCTGCTCCAGCGTTCCTCATCCTTCAGGCTACATGGTGACGTTGTGCACAAAAGCTCTCCACAGAGCCTCCCGAATCGCTTCTTTATCGGCGTCATCAGGTCGCAGCAGGCGTGAGGGAGTCCATTCCAGCACCCACTGATTTTCACCATGGTGGGGGACCGGATGGCGAACCCATAAGGCATTTATGGAGCCTAATGGTTGCCATGCTGGGAGAACTGGCAAGATTTTCACTGGTGTAGGGCTCGCTTCACATTGGAACATGTTAGTAAATGAAGTGACAGCTTCACTGCATTCTCTAGTGTCGACTGTTCAGAACTAAGAAGAGACTTTACAACTTTAGGTGCATAAAATAGCAAAATAATTAAACAACTGATTCTAATAAGCGTAGCATGAAGAAAGGCATGTAATGCTAAAGGTCCTCGGGCATTACGCTGTCTAGCCATCTTCATTTGAGCGAGAAACAGAGTGCTCTCCAAACCAAAACAAATGTTCTGTTTCTAACCATCTCTCGGTGAGCCAGCCTCGCCAACTGGAAAACCTCCATAACAAAGTTCCTCTCCTGCTTCCTCATCTCTGCTGCAAGTTACAAGACGTCTCCAGGAGGAGACAGGACTCTTAGCCTTAATAAAAGAATCATATGTGCTCTATACAATTACAGATTACAGTCATAGAACAATGAGTGTCTTATCTAAGGTGAATTTAATAAGACTTGAAAGTAATGAATTAATCTAAATAACTGTTTATCATAGAAATGCATTATTTCAGATCTTACAACACCAAATGAATCTACTTGATGAGTTAATGATGATGTTATGATCAGTCATACCACATATTAATATCCGTATGTTAACAATGACCGTTCTAACACGATCGTGAGTGAAATAGCTCCTTAGAAGTCTCTCGGGAAAGAGGTGGGGCAGAGGAATTTGATAACGCCGCCTGCATTTTTCTTGGTTTCTGATTGGTCAGACCTTAAAGGTTACAGACACACTCTATTCGAGAGTTCCAGCCAAAATGCTAACTGAACATCTTTTGTGAGACTAAGCCAGACCTTACCACAGAACACTTTTAGCAGCATAGAACCACCTTTTTCAGAACCAAACAACCATTATTTGTTATAACCTGCTACACCTTCATCAGAAGCTAACGAATCCGCCAGCTTCCAGCAGAAGCAAACTTCTATACCAGCAAGTATCATCAGACCAGCCCAGTCGTATTCAAGGGACCTTTGACCTTTGAAATCCCCAGATACCACTCCTCAGTCTTGTGTAGGCCGACTTCTCTTTGTCAGCTGGATCTACCAGGAGCTGTCACCACTAGTACAGTAGCACTGTTCAATGGCGTTGGATGGTTATGATTAATTGATAACTAATCCAACATCACTAAATTCAGCCAGATTATTCTTGTAATCACAGACTTTCCTAAAACACTTATTTAGACTCTTGATATAATCCATGATCATGTTTCATGAGTTTGGTTATTGTCTCAGTTGATATTACCTTGAATAATCATTTATCTTCAGTTATTCTGTATAATCATTTGGTCATAGAAATATAGTAATAAATAGATTTTTATAAACTATATTTTTGCTTCTGTGTCAAATTATCAATAAGTGTCGGTTCCCTGGCTTCACAAAGCACCTATTCACAGAGTCAATCTGATATTCCTTCATAAACTGCAACTGGTCCAGAATTCAGCAGCCCGTATTATCACCAGAACCCCTTCCTTTCACCACATCACGCCGGTTCTCCAGCAGCTTCACTGGCTCCCAGTTAAATTCAGGTCCATCTTCAAAATTCTCCTCCATACCTTCAAAGCAATCCACAACCTCTCTCCTCCATATATCTCAGACCTTATAAGTATTCACACCCCGTCCCGTTCTCTCAGATCTTCTTCTTCCATCCATCTTGCGGTTCCTTCTGCCCGTCTCGCTACCATGGGGAGCAGAGCTTTCAGCCGCTCTGCTCCTCGACTCTGGAACTCACTTCCCCCAGACATCAGGAACGTCGACAGTTTTACCCTTTTCAAAACAAAACTCAAAACACACATGTTTAAATCTGCCTACGACCTCTGATTTTATTGAAATGTTTCTCTCTGTTTTTTCTTCTTTGGGTTTTATTATTGTTTTATTGTATTTTATTACGTGTTTTGTGTAAAGTGACCTTGGGTGTCCTGAAAGGCGCTTTGAAATAAAATGTATTATTATTATTATTATTATTACAGGTCAATATAATTTATAATTTTATCAGACATCATACTTTGTTGAATACATTTTATATTTTGTTGACAGTTTATTAATTGTGACAGCTTACAAAAGGTTACAAAAGCCAGTGGCACCTCTAGAAGGGGTTTAAAGGGGTACCAGACTGGGGTCATCATTAATGTTAGGAACCCAAAGGAGAGTTTGTTTGGTGCTGTTTTCACATTTTTTACATTTCTGAGAAAATATTGAAACAACTGAGTTGTTTTATAGTTGTCCTTGCTACAGATAAAAACAATTCCATAAAGATTCCCACAATTTTACATTCATAAAACAACACTTTGTTTTTCCTGAACTGTGATTTAAACAAAAACATCAATTCGGATTCAGGAAGAGCTTTATTCATCTCCCTGGACTGTTCCTCTTGCAAATTCAGTTTCCAGCAGAGGTGAATCAAAAGAAAAGAAAGAAAACAGCAAGAAAAGTATAGAAAAAAAAGAACTATAATAACATGGATAAAAAAACAGTATAAAAGTAAAAGATTGTGAAAAATATATGAAGAAGATGTGAGCTATAGAAGTAATATCAGCAACAGACTGTACTGCACAGAATAATGCACAGCCGATAAAAGAATTGTGTGTCTATTCATGTGATTTAAAAATAGCTGAGGACTCCACCACTGACAGAAAAGCAACACAAAAGAGCCAAACTGGAATTCATCTAAATTCATGTTAACAACCCCCAAGTTCCTGGGAGCGAATCCTTTGAACTGATGAGGCATATCACACTGGTACTATATGTGCAGAAACAACTAGTAACACTTTGCTACTGTGAGACATACAGGAGGATTTGTCATGTTCAGGGACTGCTTTGATGCACCCCACACTAGGTGTCTTGAATCTGTACAGGGCACACAGAAAGCCCAAGTCTAAGGCATCTTAGTCTCAATCCAGGTCATGGGTTCTCCAAAAGAATGAAAGCCAAGTATATGACTAAAAGCACCCAAGAATGGCTGGGTGAACAAAACAACCCGTGCCTATTCCTAATGGCCTCTCATAAGACCTGTGGTGATGCCACGCTTCACACATGAGACATTTGGAGCAATTTGCTCAGGAACAGGGAGCCGAACCAGTCGTAACATCTGTTAAAGGTGCAGCCACAACAAAAGGGTGCCATCTTTTTTATCTATATTATTTTATTTGCGTTGAATCTGATATAAGGTGCATATATTCTGAGGGAAAGGAAATGGTAGGGTGGCCTTTGACTTTTGTCAGTTCAAAGACTAATTAGTTCAACTGCCTCTAAATAAACCTAGTAAATCCCCCAATAGCATCCTGCTCCTTAAAATATATGATCACCAAGGATACAAAGTACAATTGTTTTTATCAGCAACCACTGAAAAGATCCACAAACATGACCTGTTCTAAAGAAAAGAATCCAGATGCTTTCTTTTTTTTTTATCTCTGTTTACATATTTTATTTGTGCTTCATTTTTCAAACGTGTTTTGATCCACAAAGTTCTCTTTGCACGTCTTTAATCGTCTTACGCACTTTTGTTTCCAAAATCAGTTCTGTTTACTGTCAGCCAGCTGGAGGATTTGACCATCGATGCGTTTATGATTAGAAATCAAACTCAAAGCATTCAAACCAAATGCAGTGATTTTTGATTTGACATTTACACACATATATAAAAAATAACGTGCACAATCCTTTCAACCTTTTCCTCTCTCACACACAGACGTAAGCAAGCTACTAGAATAACACTGATTTGATGTTGCTAGGAAACAAGTTTCATTATTTATTTTAAAAGAAAACCTGATTTTATTCTAATTTATTTTCGGAATTCATCCAAACGTTTCAATCATGTTTTCCTGTGTGGAGAGAAAATCAGAAGGAAACCATAAATAAAAACTTGAATCCCCTGGACTTCATCTATCAGAGCTAATTTATTTTAACGTGACTAAGTGTGCGCGTGAAGGTGACAGCAGACACTCTCTTCAACAAACCTCAACATAATATGGCAGTGCATAAATACTCATTAATACTGCAGACATCACAGTCATCAGCAGCATGAAAAAGATTGTGACATCCATTTGGATTGTGATAAAAAGGGATTTTTAAATCGTCATGGTTGTCACAAACTAACATAAAACCAGTAGCTGATATTACAAGGATCTCTATTAGAGGAATTTCCTTCGATAACTTCACAGATCTTTTTATTTACGTCAATTTCAGTGTAGAGCAAAAACTCTGATTTAATCCCTGCAGTCAAACTAAAAACAAAGAAACAAGAACCTGCTGGTTTAGAGCTAACTGAAGGACGAGCCAGGAGACAAGGTACCTTTAAAATGTTCCAGACAAATCTTAAAGAGCAAGTAACGTCTAAATTAACTTTTTTTTGCTGATGAACTGTATAAATGAGTGTCTAATTGTGTTTTAAATGTGTGCATTCTTTATTTTAGCATTTTGGTTCATTTTCTTTAAAAATTAAAAATTCTGTCTAAAAACCACAGTAATGCGCCACCTTCAGCTGAAAACATAGAATTTGAGTCATTTTGAATAAATTTTAGCCAATGGCTAAAGAGTAAAGTACTACGTAAACCAGTAGAGTACTACGTAGCAGCTCCGTGCCAAAGTTATAAAAGCAACGAGAGTCTCGGCCACGCCCTGTGGCGCGTGGGAGTTGGATTTGCAAGCGAGCTTAGGAGGGCAGCGGTAGTTCAGCATTAGCATATAGCATTAGCATATCCTAGTCTTTAGCATATCTTTTAGTGTTATAAATACTTATTTAGTGTTAGCTTGGCTGTTGGATATTGTAGTTTAGTTAGTGTTTGGCTGTTAGCGTAATTGGGAAAGTATTTCGGTTTTAGTGTTCATATCGTCTTAGTATTGGTGAGATGGTGTAATGTAGTATGCTTGCGGTGACTCTGTGGGCATTTTACCCGCGATTCTGCACGTCTCCGTTTGAAGAGGGAGGCTGCCCACCGTGGCTCTTCCGCGATTTAGATGCAGCCCACCGACTCTGCTCCCCCACCACGGCGGGCTCCAGTCTGAGGTGAGTAAGCTAAATAAACGTTTTAACATCTTCTAAAGACAATTCCCTACCTAAATGCAAAGTCTGAGAGACGTGGTTCACTTCCTTTAGCTAGTCAGTTGGCAATTCTGCAACAGTGGCTCTAACTGACGCAGCAGTTGACAGACAGCATTACAGCGTGAAATCCAGCTGGTGACCCGGTTCTGTGAGGAATTCTGTTCAGGAGGTCACATTTCAGGCTCTCCACATCATGTGTGACTGACTTTTACGTTATAACAACGATCACACACTAGGAATGTTATAAAGCGCCTATATAGGAGATTCTTTTGTATATTATCTGACTTTATAAACTCCAACAACAATGTGCTTCTATTTTTTTTCAGGCTAAATCTACCCAAGACACTGGTTGTCAGACTGATTTAGCTGCAAGAATGCACTTGTCCAGGCTGATGTGAAACCTTCCCTGTAGCAAAGGTGAATTATTTTTAATAATCTTCTATGTAAACATTTTATTATCACCTTCTAGTTTTAATTTGTTTTACAGATTATTGTTATACGTGATTTTATGCTCTTTTAAACATTTATAAATGTGCTGCTTCTTTGTTTTTACATAGCCAGTCAGAATGGAGTTCACAGCCGCAGTGTGTCTGGTGACCCACGGTGACCATGATGAAAATTCATCTTCCAGAAAGTCCCAGAGCGTCCAGACCCCCTGAAAAGACCAAGATGTAAGGTGTCTGCTGTTGATTCCAGCTTCCACCTCAGTGACAGTGCAAGCTCAGTGAACTGTTCAAGGTAATAAATAAAAATTAAAACATTTCAGATTTTTTAAGATATTAACAATTAAATAAGTATGTGATTACATCATGACGGGGGCTACTGATTCTGCCCCTGTGACACTTGGTGGTGACGTGTGAGCTGATTCACCTGGAAAACAACTTTTACATTAAATATTTTGTTTTTGCTATCAAAAGTAAATTAACTAATAACCTGCATTATTGCAGGCCACTCAGCAAAATATGGACTCTACACCATGAGGCAGGCACACATTAATATTCTATAAGAGCACATAAGGTGAGCAACACCACATATTATTGTACACTGTCCTGAATTTGTTTTCTTTCTGCATCTCATTAGCCTGGCTGATCACCTGATAACTCCTGTCATCTGGTTATGACAGCATGAGGATGTCCTCACACACCTGTAACCTATCAGCTCATCTGGCAGAATAGAGAGAGAAGAGACAACACCACATCTCCTGTTCCTGGAAAGCCTTCAGCCATCCTTTGATGACTGAGAACCTCCATCAGCTCTGTCTCCTGTCTGCCTACAATTATTATAATAAATATTGTGTTTGACAAGTTTTTTGTGCTGCCAAATATCTCATTTAGATTCCAGTTTTGATATTTTAATGGATATTTATAAATTACATTGATTATCACATTTTTGTTGCATGTTTAACTAGCTATTGTGATTAATTAAACTAGCACCTCGCTGTTAAAAGCTCGTTTTAATTTCAAGCATGTTTAAGTATTTATGGACATGAACAAAAACAGGAAATATATAAATTGAGATTTATTTAATTAATATAACAAATAAGGGGGAAAGAGTCATTGAAAGGCACATTCTTCTGGAAGCTCCTGATCCTGATGGCACCAGCAGAGGAGACCACCTGCAGACACCAGAGGCCAGCTGCAGACACCAGAGGACCTAGAACCGAGAGAGCAGCTGTTATTAGTAAATAAATAAAGAAATCAGGGCAGTTTTAGTGGGCTGAACACATTACAGAATAATTTTCTCATGGGGTATTTTCATAACTTTATATGCAGCAGACTGTAACTTGAGCCCAGAGCTACCGGAGAGCTGCTATCCAGCATGTTTCAGTGGATTTTCCTGCTTTAACAGGTTAGATTAGCTGTTAAGCAGCTCAGCTATTTGTTGCTGATTAAAACCAGGTGTGCTGAAGCAGATAAACCTCTAAAACATGCTGAATACTAGCTTTTTAGGGCTGTGGAGACAAACCCTGCAGCTAATCCAATGCTATGGCTAACGGCTACTTACCTTTCAGAGGTGATTCTGTTGGGTCGGTTCTGGGAGTTTCAGGCAACTCACAAGCTCAAAACAATAAGACTCAGGTCCGCTTGTCTCCTCCAAATAGACTTGGTCCCTTTCTTCTCGAGTGTCTGTGTAAAGAGGGGGAGAAACGTCCTCCACTTCTAATGACCGCTCAGAGTGAAGGGAGCTAGCTTCGTCTAGTTAGCCATCGTCTTCGTCACTGCCGCGGCTCCGCCCACTCGGTCCTCCAGGCAACGCCTACTAATGTTGCATTTTTTTAAATTGATACGTGGGTGGAGAAGGACTCCGAGGCTCAATTGACCCGCTCTTTAAAGCACTTTTTTTCCCATTATCAACAACACAGCATGTTGCAAGGACAAAGAAAACAAAAAGCAAGAATTTGAAAACATTGTAAAAACATAACATCTGGAATATTTAATATAACACACATGTTGGTTTGTTCATAAAAGCACTAAGGGAAATTAGGCCAATAAAGAAATATCTAACCATTTAAATGTTTAAATCAATTAATTTGATTGAGTATTAAAATGATCTCTGAATTACTATTTAATTAAACTGTCATTCACTCTGCAGTGGTCTGATGGGGTGCAGGCAGCTCTGAGCGAAACAGGAAGAGACTGAACAAGCTAGTTCACAACGCTAGCTCGATTCTGAGCTGCCCACTGGATTCAGTTGAGGAGACGTGTGAAAGGAGGATGCTGAGGATGAAGATGACCTCCATCTTTAAAAAAAAACTCCCACCCACAGCATTCCACTGTGGAGACCATGGACAGCTCCTTCAGAGGCAGACTGAAGCCCGGGGCTCACCAGAGGCGGGCGCGATGCACAGAAGTTTTGTGAATCAAGTGGTCCACTGAGCGCTTCTTGGAAAGTCACGCGATAGTCACAACATCACACGGGACTTGAGAACAGGAAGCAGGAAGTGACTATTATTTATAAGTGATCAGACTTGCCGTCGTGTTTTGTGAGACTCTAATTCATTAACAGTGGGTAAGTACGCTATTTATTAAAATATTTTACGATCAATAGTACTTTAAAGTTATCAAAACTGCAGCTGGGTTTGTGCCGTAAAGCGATTCCACGTCGTAATGTCTGTTGTAAAGTACTGCACAATGTTTTAAACAGCTGCAACACTTGAGATTGAACTGGCGACAATCTTCAGCGCCTCTGCGTTCCCACACTAACTGCGCGTGTGCCTCCGGTGTGCCTCAGGCTTGAGACATCCCAGATGTAAAACAGAACGCTACCACTCTTCACATTTTTCTCTTAAGTGTTGGTGCTGCTGTAACAAGTGGATTTCCCCACTGTGGGATCAGTAAAGTATATTCTATTCTATTCTAATCTAATCTATTTTAAAAATTCTTTAAAGGCATAGGTCAGTGATGAGGCTAAAATCCAGCGAGGCTGGTTCCAGAGTCTAGCCCAGTCACGTTAAGTGTTTATGTTAAGGTTTTGAACAGTAAAAACAAAATCTTGGATAAATTATAAATGAGAAAGAGTATTTAAGGGGACCAATTGTAAGTTTCCCTCCTCTTTGAATATTCTCTGAAGAGCAGCAACATGGAGGTCTCAGAGCATGGAAACCTCAAGCAAGTGCGGTAGAAAAAAACAATGGGTTGATAAAACTTTGCTAAAAAAGTTTGCTTTTTTCATTATAACCTATCAGGTAGCAGCATACTAGACTCACTACTTACTCCTAACCAATTAAAACCACAGACTCGGGCACGCTACGTCACCAGGCCCTCCCCTCTCAAACCAAAACAGAGCATGAGGCAGCAAGATGTCGCAGCGAGAAGAGGTGGCACATAAAATATGTTATCTACAAATTTTAAAATATTTTCCCATAATTATCGATATCGATCAATATAAAAAATTTGTATTGATATTCTTTTTTTTTATTTAATCCAGCTCTAGTGGAAGGCCACAGGCACGGTTGAAGTTGAGGCTCAAAGTGGCAGACCAAGAAACATCTCAGATAATCAGAAGTGAAGAATGGTGAGAACTGTCAGAGTCAACCCACAGAGCAGCACCAGCATCTGCTGCAGATGGAGTCTCTGTGCTTCTTTCAACTATTCGGTACACTTTACACAAGGAGATGCTGCATGTGAGAGTGATGCAGAGGAGCCATTTTCTCCACCCACAGCACCAACAGAGCTGCTTGGGGTCTGCTAAAGCACATTTGGACAAGTCAGCTTCATTCTGGAATAAGGTGCTGTGGACTGATGAAGCTAAAACTGAGTTATTTGGGCATAACAAGGGGCGTTATGCATGGAGGAAAAATAACACAACATTCCAAGAAAAAGACCTGCTAACCTACAGTAAAACATGGTGATGGTTCCATCATGATGCAGGCTATATGGCCAGTGCAGGGACTGGGAATCTTGTTAAACTGAGGAACGCATGGATTCCACTCAACATCAGCAGATTCTGGAGACCAATGTCCAGGAATCAGCGACAAAGCTGAAGCTGCTCCGGGGCTGGATCTTTCTACAAGACAATGACCCTTAACACTGCTGAACATCTACTAAAGCATTCATGCAGAGGAATTAGTAGAATGTTCTGGAATGTTCATCTCAGTCCCCAGACCTGAATATTAGTGAAACTCTTTGGTGTGAGTTAAAGAGAGCTGTCCATCAGACCTGAATGAACTAGAGATGTTTAGTAAAGAAGAATGGTCCAAAATACCCTCAGCCAGAATCCAGACTCTCATTAGCCCTTTTTGCAAGACACATCGTGCTTGCAAATCAGCGTAATATTATACAATATACAATACAATATGTCTTATGAACGCACCATGGCGGCATGGCGTTGAGGAGATTTTGCGGCATTCTTGCCACCAAGTTTGGTAATATATTACCCCAACGCCAGACTTGTGAATGTCTTTTACACCTTAGCACAACAGAGGGAGGTGTCACCATCACATTATGGGCTGCATGACTTAATTTTTTAAAAGGTCGACAGTCAAGTAGGAAAATCGAGTCGACTTTGACTAGTCGTTGGTGACGTCATACACCTGAAGCGGGTTGGTTCGCTGAAGTTTTTGACAATTAAAATTGTGCCCACATTTTCAAAGTTAAACACATCTCTTTTAACAATGGTAGTTTCTGCATCTTTACTGTTCCCCTGCTTCAGCCCTCTCTCCCCTCCCCCTGCGCAGCGGCCGCAAACTCACTGATGCGCCTGCGGCCTCTCAGAGTTGCTGTTCTAAACATAAACTTATTTAATTTTCTGTTCCTCACTTCTGATTACCTTCAATGGTTAAGGTTAGGTCTGTTTGTTGCAACCACCAGGTACAAAAACTAACTTGTTTTTATTTGACTATTTTTCTGTCCTGTCTCTGTTTATTATCTTCCTGCATCTCCTCTCAGTCCTAAAGATAAACTGCTATCTGCCTTCATATATATTCACCTTATGAGTTACCTTTGAACTGCAGTTCTAAAAGATCTACCGACCACAAAAACAGTGGAGTGTGCGCCGGCCGCACCGGTGAGGTGCGTCACTGGAGGACAAAACAGGTGATGCTCTGTGGTGGTTAAAAATAGGGTTTTTCAGAAGAAATGCAGAGAAGTGCTCTGTGGGCAGACAGGACAAAGAGCCTTGGGAAAAAATGATAAGGGAGCAAAAAGAGAAGCGTCTGTACTCTGCGAGTGCCAGGAAGAAAAAAAAAAGTGATCCGATGAAGCCTAATATGGTAATCTTGCCAATATTTCTGATTAACATAATGACTAAAGATAATCTTATCAGATATTCTTGCCATGTACGGCATGCAGGTCTCCTTTTACCGTCTTCCCGCTAAACAGCGGAGCTGTCAGCTGGTCATTCATCCTTCTCCTCCTTTATACACAAGAACCCACTAAACTACAGATAAGTAACAATCTCTCACAGATCGCTGCAAAATCTAAACCAGCGGTACTCAATAGTCAGCCCGCGGGCCGGACCCCCTTTGTAGCCCTCGAACTCCACACTAAAATAAAATCAACAGGGGGCCTTGGCTCTTGGCCACGCAACAGAAAGAAGGGAGATTCCTCTGTAGCCTGGTGAGGAGTGGTATTATATGAAAACAGCAGTTGTGGCAAACATAAGCTCCAGTCCCGTTTCCGAGACTCAGGCAATGTGCGCAGAAGGTTGTGGAGTGTCCTACTGAACCACTCACATTGTCCATTACCTGCTGGATGCTATGGCATGGTACGAGATTTCTTGATCCCATAGAACTCATACAACTGCTGAATCAGGGTGCTCTCAAAGTTCCGACCCTGGTCCGAGTGGATACACGCTGGGACGCCAAATT